TTTGTGGTTGCTGCCTATGGTGTGTGCCTGAGACATTGATGCCATGTGTCCAAGACAGAGCTTCAGAGAAGCAAGTGGTGAGCTGGAGTTACCAGGGACCTGTGCAGATTTTCACTTTAGGAATTCTCAGCATTGGTTTTTACCTGGAAGGTTGTAGAAAAGGAACCTGACTATTAATGAGACAAGATTAAATAATAATGAGGGTGATAATGAGTAACGTTTCCAGTTAATTGACCCCACGCTGCTCAATAGTGAGAATCTCAGCTCAAGGTCCAGAAGTATGTTGGAAAATACAAATTGTTGCTCCTGATATCAAGAAACACCTCACTCAACTTCTCACACAAATCTTCCAGATTTCTCACCATAGCCCATGTCATCCAGGGCCTGGGAAGATTCTGCACCTTTCTATTGGAATATGACAAGTACAGTTACTGCCCATTATAAACATGTACAAGGTATTGTTCAGATATAAATTGTTGCTGCCCGTATATAATAAGCTGTTAATATCTATACATAAGATGCACTGATTCTGTCTGATAAATAATCTGTTAATGTAAATGTGGGAGGTACTATCTAATTTCACAATAAATTTCCTGTTGCCATGTACAATGCAACTTCCTCCATTGCAGTGGCTACTCACGTGGATGATGTAAAGTGTGTGAAAATATTGAGGTTGGTGCTGAGATTCACTCAGTGTATGAGAGAGTATTGCTGAAGCATTTGCTCTGGTGGCTGGGAAGTCATGAGATTAGGAACATCGTGTCTAATCCTGGGTGAGTAAAAGGGATCAGATGGGGTAATCTGTCTAGGTGTTTTTATGTGAACTTACACTATAACAGAAACTGTATTGAGTGTGAAATTTAAATGGATGGAAGGAGTGGATGTCCAACCAGGAGTGCTGATGTGTTCTCAGCTCAGTTCTGTTCATTTACAGATCAGAGTGTGCATTTAGTGTTAGAAGTACAATGATGTCAGAAGTTTGGGGGTGATGATTTTACAAAGAACAAAAACAGTAAAGGACATTACAGCACATGAACAGCCCCTACAGCCCAGAAAGACTGTGTTGATACCTGATGCCTTTTAACTAAAATTTTTTTACCCCCATGCAGTCTGTGTCCCTGTATTCCCTGCCTGTTCTTGTATCTGCCAAGATGCCTCTTAAACGTTGCTTTTGTATCCGCCTCCACCACCTCCTCTGGCAGCGCATTGCAGGCACTTATCAATCTCTGTGTAAAAAACCTGCCTCTTATACATCACCTTTAAACTTTCCTCTGTTTACCTTAAACTTATGTCTCCCCATAATTGACATTTCTACCCTGGGAAAAAAGACTGATTATCAAATCTACCAATGCTTTTCATCATTTTATAAACTTCTATCAGATCATCCCTCATCCTTCAACATTCAAGTGAAAACAAAAAAAGTTTGTCCAATCTCTCCTAATAGCTAGTAACCTGCAAATCAGGCAACATCCTGGTAAACTTTTCATGTATCTTTTCTCCAAAGCCTCCACATCCTTCTGGTGTGGTGACCAGAACTGTACACCATATTCCCATTTGGAGCATAACTGCTAGCCTTGATTGGTTGGACTGAATGCCCTGTTTCTGTGCTGTGGATTCTGATGTAATTCAGTGAAATTTGAGCAAAACCTGCCCTGTGCAACACTAACAGGACAGCAAAGAATGCAAGCAGCAACAGTTAAATGGCACAAATGGCAACCTCTAATAGTAATGAGAGCTGAGGAAGTCACAAATCCGTTGTAGCCATTGCTGCAGATATAAAGTGGAATGGAGCACTGAAATACACCTCAGCTTTATGGAATTTATGTTGATCTCTTTAATTGTTTTCACCTCCATCTAAAACCAGAGAACTGGAGGTAAGGAGGCACATGACACTGTTCCTTTACATCAGAGAGCAGGGTGCGAAGTCAGCCCACATATACTGCCCTCTGTGTTCCAGCCCCTGTGTGTGAAATGAGTTTGGATAAACTAGATCCAAATCTCACCGTACATCTGAAATACATTACTGGCTGGCATGATGGATGTGACTGTGTCTTAGGCAGGTCCCTGCTCGCTTTTAACGGGAGTCTTGTCCACAGCCTGAATTGCCACTATTAATATTACATCGTCTGGCAACACAATGGGTGGGAGGTTGATATTTAAGGTATTAACCACTCACCTGACTCTTCCCTGCCCAATGGAGGGCTGGATTAAAATCGAGGCCTATTGGGTTTTATCAGCCAGGTCACTTGGTGGAATCAAATCTTGTAACTTGTGAAACTGACCTCATTATGCCTCTTAATTTGATATTTAGCTTCGGTAAAATGTCCACATGGAAGTTTCCAGATTGTTGTACAAAGCCAACTGGTTCCACAACGGCTCTCAGGGAAAGGGACAGGCCAACAGTGCCCAGTCTGGGCTGATGCACATGTATCAAACTCAGACATTGTGGTGGGACCTCAGTTGTCTTTCCAACCAAACCCAGATCCATCCTCACTACCTGCTGTTTGAAAAGTCGATGGACCTGTGGATGGGGAATGGGTGAAAGATTGGAGAAAGACCTTTTCAGGTCAGGAACAGAGGCAATTGAGGAACAAACTTCTTAAATGCTTCATCTTTTTTATCTCCTCGTGGCCTGCTTCATTTGGAGACTGTGCCCAGCTTGGTCTTGTTCGAGGAGTTCTTCTGTTCAAAAAAGTCATGGCCGTACAGGTAAGTACTAATCAAGGTCAGGACACTGAAGACAATGGTCATGTCTTTTCCCATCAATTTCTGCCCACACACATGCATCACATCCATTTACCACACTGACACCCACACCAATGCCCCACACCCATGCCCCACACCCAGGCCTCCCACACGTGCCCGACACCATTGCCTCACATACCCGACACCATTGCCTCACATACATGCCCCACATTCAATCCCCTCACCCATGACCATCGTCACCATGTACAATGGTGGCCTGTCTGCAAAAGCCATCTTTTTACATTTTAAATTGAAAGAAATGGCCTTTATCTGAAGTAGAATGGAATATAAAAGTAAGGGGTCCTGCAACAAATATGCAGGGTTTTAGAGAGAGCACATCTAGTGTTCTGCATGCAGGTTATTGAAGGAGTGATATATTTGGAATTGGAAGCGATTGGAAGAACATTCATGAGGCTGATTCCTGGGATGATGGCATTATCACATGAGGATTGGGTGGGCCTATACCCAGAGGAAGAGTGAAAGGTGGGGCGGAACCTGAGAAAGGTCTGGGCGAGATTGGCTGTGGTGAGCTGCGTGGCAGCATCTGGCCAGGAGTCTGGTGAGGCACATCTTGACATGGGGAGCATCTGCTATGTTTTTGCCAAGCTGTGAGGCAAGTTTCGCACTTGGGCTGAGTGGGTTGCTAATGAAGGGGGATTATAGCTTGTTAAATGTCTTGTTAATGGCATTACTCACCTCATCAATATTCAGCTTCCTATCTGATCAAATGCATCAAACAAGCTTGATGTCAGGATGCTCGATATAGAAATCAGAACGGAGACCTGGTGACTACAGCTCACCACTTACTGGACAACAGGCACCAATATCTTACTGGCCAAATTTACCTCATATTCATGCACATTGACATCCAACATGTGCCAACTTCGATGGACCCTTTGAACATCTCCAATCCACTTCTGCATTTGAACACTGTGCCAGCACAGAGCATTGTAATGCAGGAGCAAGGGCACTCAAGAGTGCTTAGGGACACACACCCAGCTCATGGATTGGACCAGGCAGTAAGTCCAGGTTGTTTGCTCACTGCCATAGTGCACACTCCACTACAAGACTTACCGAGATGCTCACAGCATCCCTGCCTTACATTACCTTGGCTTTTTGTGGTTTACCCACTCAGCCCCACATATAAGTATTACTTCTGAAAAACAGTTATATCAGACTTGAAATATTAATTTGGTTTCTCTCTCCACAGATGTTGCCAGAGTTTCTCTGGCACTTTCTGATTTTTTTTTCAAATTTCCAGCATCTGCAGTATTTTGCTCATATTACTTCTGCCTGGCCTTGCTATTTAGCACAGACTCAAAGGAATGAACCATGTCATGGTTATCAGCAGGTCACAGTCAAGCCATAGAAACACAGAGAACAGCAACAGGAGTTGGCCATTCGGCCCATCAAGCCTGTTTCACTACTTATTAAGATCATGGCTGACGATCCATGATCAGTAGCCTACCCGCTTTTCCTTCATATCCTTTGATCCTCTTTGCCCCAAGTGCTATATCCAGCTTGTTTTTGAAGCACACAATGGTTTGGCCTTGACAGCTTTCTGTGGTAGCGAATTCCACAGACCCACCACTCTGTGGGTAAAGAGATTTCTGCTCATCTCAGTCCTAAATGGTTTACCCCATATCCTTAAACAGTGATTTTGGACTGTCCCTCCATTGGGAACATCCTCCCTGTATCTACCCTGTCTAGTTCTGTTACCATTTTATATGAATGAGGTGCCCCCTTCATTCTTCTGAACTCCAGCGATTATAATCCTAACTGATTTAATCTCTCCTCATGTATCATTCCCACCATCGCAGGAATCAGCTCACTGCACTGCCTCCATGGCCAGAACATCCATCTTCAGATAAGGAGACCAAAACTGCACAGAAACAATCATGGGCAAAAGACTTTGTTCAGAAGTTCCTGCACACATATCCCCTAATTTTCTTAAAGGCTGCATGGTTCTCCAAGGCCTGTGCACAGAAGCCAGTAGGATGATCTGCCATGATCATATTGAATGACAGAGCATACTCAAAGGGCCGAATGGCCTACTCCTGCTCCTATCCACTATGTTTCTATATTCAAGGTGTATGAGATGAAATTTTGATTGACTAAAGAGTTTAAGGTTATGAGGTACTGACAGGAAAGTGGAGTAAAGGCAGTGTCAGTTATTGAATGGTGGAGCAGTGTTGAGGGGCTGAGTAGCCTGCACTTGTTCCTGTATCTTAGGTTCTAATTAGAGCAAAGTAGTAATGCAGCCATTAACAAACATCACTGTTTACACTGATATCAATGAGTATAAATCGCCACCTTGTGATCCATCCACAACATGTCACAACTTAACAAGGAGGTCTGAGTGTTTCTGTGGTACAGGGCTTATAACCATTCGTGGGAGTTCTGGCAAAGCAACAACTTGTAAAGGTAAGGACGATAATCTCTTGTTTGTGATAAGGTTGTTGGTTCACTAGGGTGGTCCTTGAATCCAAAGACATTAGAGACTAATGTCCAAGTAAAATCCAATAGAAAACCCGAAGGGATAATAAAGAAAACAAATAGTACAGTGGTGGAAGAGGCCCTTTGGCCCACCAAGACACATGATGCCTTTCTAAACAAAAAACATTTTGCCTCTACTTGGATCTGTATCCCTCTATTCCGTGCCCATTCATATAACTGTCAAGGTGCCTCATAAACATTACTATTGTATCCACCTCCATCACCTCCTGTTGCAGTGTAATCCAGGCATTTGCCACCCTCTGTGTATAAAAGAGTTGGATCTTGCATCTCCTTTAAACATTCCCCCTTTTACCTGACATCTTATCCTCTAGTAATTAACAATTGTAGCCTGGGAGAAAGACTCCAATTATCCATTCTATTCATGCCTCGTGGTTTTCTTGATATATTCTAACAACCTTAAGGGCAGAAGGAAACAAAATGTTGTTGGACCTGGTGGGCAATGGCGCAAGTGAATCCCAGATAATGTCCACAACCTGCATACAAGGAAGTACAATTTAACTAAAGCCTACAGACTACAATTTACCCTCCGAGCTGTACACCATCCTGATTTGGAAAATTATTGCCGTTCCTTCAGTGTTGCTGGGTCAGAATCCAGCTTAGGTCGGTGTCAGTTTCAAACCTGAAGGACGTATATATTTAATCGTTATTCAGAAATCCACTGAAGAGTTGAGGAGGAACAGTGTTAGCCAAAGCATTGTTAAAGTGTGGAACTTGCTACAGCATAAAAAGTTGAGCATCGATGCATGAGGTAGATGCAGTGAGTCAGTTAGAGAAAGCTGTTAGGTGGAGCCTCAAGACCACCATCCATCTAATGGACCAAATGGCCATTTTCCATGCTGCAAATTCTGTGTAATGTAGATTATTAACACCAATTTACCAGGCTTTATTCAAGTGGGAGCCTGTATAGTCCATGTTTGTTCAGTCGAGCTCTGAAGCAGTTGCTGTGACCTCTTTCCCTCTTCACTTCAGATGTGGACGAGTGTGAGGATGAAGATGTGTGTGGCAAGAATGCTACCTGTCATAACTCCTTTGGGAGTTACCACCGTATCTGTCGGGCAGGATTTCAGCCAGTTCCAGAACAGACAGGAAAGACCAGCACAGGTAAAGGTAACGATTAATGAACAGAGCTACATAGAAATGATTATTGGCACTGGCGGTTTGGGTGGGCTTGAGAGTGTGTGTGTGTGTGTGTGTGTGTGTGTGTGTGTGCATAATTAGTTCGGGCCCATTTCCAGACCTAGACTCATGATGCCCAGGTAGCTTCTTGATGGACCATAGATGCCTAAGGCCTAGGAAATTGGGCCTGAGGCTTTATCTTTGAGGCCTCTCCTGAGGGCTTTTGGGTGACTGGCAATTACAATGAGGTCAGTTCCAGGGAAGAGAGGGTCAGAACAGGCAATGGTAGCTATCAGAAAGCTTGTGGAGCTGAAATTAATTAAATTAGTCTTCAGTTGCTGTTTGCCAAGAATCACAAGTCTGACCCAATGAAGCAAATGTTAGTTACAGGGTCTTCCAACAGGTGTTAAGTCCCTCTTTGAAAGAAGAGGGCTTAATGGATGCCTAGCAACTAATTTTCATTGATCTATAATTTAGACTAAACTCTAAGCAGACTCATTAGTATCGTGTCTGTCAGTTTGGCTGAGTTATTACCACACTGGGTCAGAAGGGTGTTGGTATGAAATGCCACGCCAGGATTTGAGAGTGTAATCTAAACTGATTCCCCACCACCACAATTTGCGTCACACAAAGACAGAGGGACTAAAGAAGGGTTAAGCATGCTTGCCTCCGTTGCTCAGTCCTTTAAGTGTAGGAGTTGGGACGTCATGTACAGGACATTAGTGAGGCTTTGTCTGAGGTACTGTGTCCAGTTTTTGTCGCCCTGTCATGGGAAGGATATTATTAAGCAGGAGAGAGTTCAGAAGAGATTTAGCAGGATGTTGCCAGATACAGAAGGATTGAGTTATAAGGAGAGGCGGGGACTTTTTTTACTGGAGCATAAGAAGTTGAGAGGTGACCTTATTGCAGTTATAAAATCATGAGGGGTATAGATAAGGTTAATGGTAGGTAACATTTCCATGGGATGGGGGATTTCAAGACGAGGGGGCACGCTTTTATGATGAGAGAAGATAGGAGTAAAAAAGACATGACAGGCAAATTTTTATACAGAGGGTGGTTTGCATGTGGAATGAACATCCTCAGGATGTTGTGGATGTGGGCACAATTACAATGTTTAAAAGACACTCAGATAAGTACATGAATAGGAACAGTTTGGAGGGAAATGGGCCAGGAACAGGTACGTGGGACTGGTTTAGTTTGGGATTATGTTCAGCAATGACAGGTTGGACCAAAAGGTCTGTCTATGAGATGCCAAAACTGGGCCCCATCTGCCCAGTCACGTGGTCATCAGAAATCCGTACTAGGAAGATGGCAGGGTTTTGAACTGGGCACGAATATTGAAAGATCTTTTAACTACTCTAATTTTTACAGTGCAACCTCTCAACTGTTCCAACCCAGAAAAGCCAAACAATTCCACCCTCACACAGTGTGGTGGGAAGCATTCACAAACCCTCGAACAGGTATGTGACCCATATTGTTCTATTCCCAAACTGACTCATTGAAACGGTCCTGATGATTAATGGGGTTCACTTCTTTGTGCCTGCAATTTTTGATTTAACATGAACATGGATTTGAAATGGCTACAGGATGATTATAATGGTCACAGGTAATGATTGCAGATTTAAAAGGCTGAATGAAAGAAAACAATGTAAAAATTGGCAGCTACTTTCCTGGCAAACTAGCACTTCACTTTTATCTGCATCAGAATGTTTAAATGGGACCTTCCAAATGGGATCTTGTTTGGCAATGTCTAAGGTACCTTAGACATTGCCAAACAAGATCCCATTTGGAAGCTTTTCCCCCTGCTCTGATAAGAACAACTCAATAACTGAAAATTTATCCTCTTTAGGTTTGCTTCCACAATCTGGCCGCTCACTTCATTAGTTGGAAATGAGCTTGGGAAGCCAGTCTGTCCCCAGTAGGTCCAAATGTTCTTGACCATAGGCTCGATTGTCAAGTGAGATGTTAAACGCAGATCCCATGTGCCTTCATGGGGAGAACCAAGATCACAGTGGCACTCATGTGCAGAAAGCATAAGGGAGCTTCCAGTAATGTCCAAGTCAAGATTTGATCCTCTATACAAAACATTAAATAGTTTATCATTATATAATCACTTGGCATTGCTGTTCATGGGAACTTCCTGTGTGAAAACTGGGGTTCACCTTTCCCTGCCTTACAACTGTGACAAAATCAACATCATGAACAAAACAGCTACACTCCAGAGGTGAGAGCAGAGTGACTGCCCTTGGCATAAAGTCGACATTTGACCAAGTTTGACTTCAAGGAGATCTAGCAAAACTAGACTCCTTCACAATCAGGGGAAACTGTCTGCTGGTTGGAGTTGTAGCTGGCACAAAGGAAGATGGTTGTGGTTGTTGGAGGTCCGTCATCCCAGCAGCAAGAGATCTCTGTGGGGCTTCGTCAGGATTGTGTCCTAAGCCCAACCATCTTCAGCTGCTTCATCAGTGAACATCCCACCTTCGTAAGTGAGGATGTTCACACAATGTTCACCGCCATTCACCACTCTTCAGTTACTGAACCAATCTGTGTCTATCTGCAGCAAGACCTGGACATCATTCAGGCTTGTTTTGATTAAGTGGCAAGTTGTATTCACAGTACACAAGTGCCAGGCAATGAATATCTCCAACAAGAGAAAGCCTGAACATGACATTCAATGACCTGGGGGTTACCATTGACTAGAAATTGAATTGGACCAGTTATATAAGTACAGGTGCTACCAAAACCGGTCAATCCTGCAGTGCAGAACTCATCTTCTGACTCTCCAAAACCTGTAGACTATCTACAAAACAGAAGTCAGATGTGTGGTGGAATACACTTCACTTGCCTGGATGAGTGTCGCTCCAACAGCACTCAAGAAGCTGGTTACCATTCAGGATAAAGCAGCCTACGTGATTAGATCCATCCACCATCTTCAACATTCTCTCCCTCCACCAGTGACGCACAGTGGGAGTACAGGATCCTATTAACAAGATGCACTGCAGCAACTCACCAAGACTCCCATGGCAGCACCTGGAAAAATTGTCACCTCTAGGACAAGGGCAGCTGCTGCCTGAGAACATCAGCAATCACCAGGCCACACACCATCCTGACTTGGAATTATATCACCGTTCCCTTGCTGTAACTGATTCCAAATCCTGGAACTCCCCACACCCCTCCCCCATGAAGAGCACTCCAGGTGCCCCCTACACAAGATGGACAGCAAGAATTCAAGAAGGAAGTTCACCATCACCTTCGAGAGGGCAATTAGGTATGGGCAACGATTAATAAATACTGTCCTAACCAATCACACCCATTTCCCATGAACAGATACATTTAAAAAAACAATCAGTTGTAAAGCATTTTTATCATGTCAGAAAGGAATGAGTGGTGCGATATAATTTTCAGTCATTGTTCCTTTCTTCAGGAGAAACATCCCACGTCAACGACATTCCCTAATACTGATGCTGTGAACTCCAGTGGGATAGAACCAGATGTCACTGTCTGGTACAATCCCAGTGTCACCACGAGCGACACCAGCAATGTCATGTTCCTTATTTCCAGACGATACAGAGTTGATTCTCCAGGCTTTTGCTCTTGGGACTGTTGCTTTTGTGGATTTTCCAGGTTGACTTGTCCAGTGATGGTTGTCAATGAGAAGGGGTGCTTTTTAACTATTGTCTTGTTTCACTGTCTAGCCAAACTCTTGGGAAGTGGGTCTTGCTTCGCAATAGAATCAGCTCGCCAATTACTTAACAAAGTCTGTCAGAATTTCAGCGTCACAGACGATATCCAGGTAAGGAATTATAGGCCCAGTGTTTTTATTTACTCCAAAAGTGACATGGTTCTGGTGCAGAGTGTTCTACTCTGCAAAGCCAGTCAGTGAAGAATGATACCAGAGCCAATCTTACCATAGACCTACATTTATTTACAGAGTGAAACAGTAGAAGCACGTGCCTCCAAACTCAACCATCTAAAGTTTCAGTGAATGTCTGTTTATTTTAAAATTTTAATTTTTTTTAATTGACCTACTTTTCTACTCAACCTGTTCCGGGATGTGACTACATACCTCTGGAGCAGGTAGGACTTGAGCCCAGGTCTCTCAGTCTTCGGGGGAGGGGGTATTACAGGCACTACCACTGCACCGCAAGAGAGCCTTTGAATGTTTCTTGGTCTGGCCTCGATTGTGACCCCAGTTAATGTCTTCCATCAGCACATAACACATTTGGTAAACATTTATCAGAAAGGACTAGATTTTGGCAGAGTAATCTAATACACCGGATTTACATGTGCATTAAAATATGGATATCCTGAGCTAAAACCCCACCTCTCTGTTTGTACTGGGATTGCAGCTTACATAAATTTAAGCCTGTAGCAAGCAGGGGTGAGTTATTTGCTTGACCTGTCATCCAAATGGTTTACTTGGGATTCTGCAAACTTCATTACAAGGAGGTCATTTTTTTCCCTATAGTCATCTGATGATAGACAATGGATGTTCCCATATATCAATGTAACCTTTATATTAGAGGAAAAACTTGAGCAGGACTAAGAGGAATTGGGAGAGATGTCACTATTTCTGCAGCCTCCATCCCCCCAACCCTCCAAGGTGTTTGTGTTCCTCAGATTCTAGCCTCATATGCATTTCTGAGTTCAATGGCTCCATCATCACCTTTCGCTGCCAGGGTCCCAAGCTCTGGAATACCATATACATCAGCTTTTCTACCTTTCATCATTTCCATTAGGTCATAAAAATGTAGAAACAGGAGAGAGCCATTCAGCCCATTGGACCTCTTCCATCGTTCAATAAGAGCAGGGACGATTTAGTTTTAGCCATAACATCACTTCCTGCCTGAATCCCAAAACTTTGTCTTCTCTGTCGCTCAAAAATCGAACTTAGCCATCAGGATGTTCAGTGGCCCAACCTCTACTGCTCTCTGTGATGCAGATTTCTGAAGATGAATAACTCTCTGACAGAAACAGTCCCCCCTTGTCATTGTCTGAAATAGAAACCCCTTATTGTGGAACTGTGCTCCTTAGTTCTAGAATCCCCTGTGAGGGAAAGTATTCTCCGAGCATCCACCCTGTAAAGCCCTTTGAGAATGTAATATGTTACAATAAGACTCCCTCTCGTTCTTCTAAACTCCAATGAGTCTAAGCCCAAATGTGCTTAACCTTTCCTCATAAGGCAACCACTTTCTCCCAGGAATCAACTGAATGAACGTTCCTTGAACTACTTCTGATGCCAGTAATATGGCTTTCATGAAAATTTAATTTAGGTAGTGCTGAGATGCAGTCACACAGATGGCCATATAACTGTCGCAAGACTTTTCAGTTTTCAGTCTTCACCCTTTTTAATGTTAAGACTAACGCTGTATTTGCCCTGTTAATTGCTTGCTGAATCTTCTTGCTGTTGTAACATGAGATTTGAACACACAGAAGGTCCAAAGATTCTGAAACATTAATTCTTTATTTCATTGACATTAAGTTATACCAAAAGTCAAGAGAAATTAAAATTAAATGAGGAAGTATTTACATGGAATGAAGCCTATGGTTTACTTTGAGTTGAGAAATCCCTTGTCTGTCTGCTCCTTCCTGAAATAATTAACCGAAGGCTGGTATCCCATCACCAAGTCACCCTTTATTCACACGAGCTTAGAGCATGACATTGACACAGCTCGCTCAGGTCCAGCTCTCAGAGTAAGCAGAGCCCATGGCACTCCTGTTTATGTCTGTCAGCCAGGTGTCCCTCATTGGACCAAATAAACAGCCCCAACAGGGGATTTATATTCTGTGAGATCTGCCTGGCTGACATCGTTCTAATCACTACACTTCCCCTTTCGCCTCCTTCCTCCAAAGCGACTTTTTTATTCCAGAGCGGGTTTGTTCGACTACCCTGTGCCAACTTTCTCCATGGCCTGCAGCTGGAGGCACAATTTCTCGAGCTGCCCTGCTGAGTGCCCTCTCGGCATTGCCACCTGCTGCTGGAGGTTCCATTATGGTAACTTTTGTGATTCATGTACAAGAGGATTCGGATTGCTCTACACTGCAGCACTCTGTGATGTTTTTCTATTTAACTGATATTCTGATTTTTTATTCTTTCTGCCAAAGTGGACAACCTCATGTTTGACCATATTATTCTCCATCTGCCTTGTCCTATCTGTATTCCTTTGCAGACTCTTTTCATCCTCTTCGACTTGCTTTCCTTTGTGTTATTTTTTATTCTTTCATGGAGAGTGAGCGTTGTTGACGAGACCAGTAATTGTCACCATTCCTCAATTTTGTTTAAACTGAGGCCATTTCGGAGGCGGTACAGACTTGAAGGCCTGAAAGTTGTTTTCCATACTGTTTGATTCAGGGAGCAATTAAGGGTCAACCACATGGTTGTGAGCCTGGAGTCACATGTAGGCCAAACTGGGTGAAGATGGTAGGCCTCCTTCCCTAAAGGGCATTAATGAACTTGCCTGGTCTTCACAACAATCGGGATCATTTCATGGTATCTTTGTGTCACAAGCCATTTTGGATACAATGTATTTGGTTCCCCACTTTAAAACATACCTTAAAACCTATCTTTTCGATCAAGCTTTAAGTCATCATGTGACTATTGTGACCTAGTGTCATACTTCTATAATACTCCTGTTGTGATGGTCTACGTGCTTTGGGGAAAGAAGCCAATATTTTATGTTAGGTGATGGCCCTTAATGAATTCCCAACTTCTGAAGGGAGACTGGATCTTCCAATCTGAATATGGGTTTGATATCCAATGAGATGTTCTTATCTGATCAGTGTGTAGCATCCCATCATTGTGTAGCTTGCAGGGGCCCATAACACCTCCCTGCAATAGTGGATTAACCAATGCGTGAAGCTGGTGTAAAGATGACCATAGTAAAGGTAGGAGTGTTCAAATCACAGACTGTAAATTGAGCAGGATCTGAGTGATGTGTGCCAGCGGTAAAACAGTACAGGTTACATGTGATTGCAGACCCACAGCAATGGGATTGAGGCTGAGCTCCATTCTGGAATTGACTTGGGAAGCCACTCAGTTCAAAGGCAGCAAATGTTAGTAATTTGCAATGAGGACAAGGCAGGAGATTGGCACCTGGGCACAGAACCAGTGCAGGCACAATGGGCTGAATGTCCTCCTTTGGCACCGTTACAATTCTGTGATTCTGTGAAAATGCCTACTTTGGCTGTTTCTCTTTAATTTCAAAGTTTCTTTTTGTGAATTGCAGTTCACCGCTGTTGTGATATGTGACAACAAATAAAAGAGAGAGGAGCATTAACCTCATTTATTGAGGCAGATAATTCACAGTCACAGGTGGAGGGGGTGGAGAGCAGCAACAGGGACAGGAGGGAACGGGAGAGGAAAGGAAGATTCCAAGACAATCATAGTGAAGACGGTGTGGGAAAAGGAGGCAAGAAAACAAAAAATTTGAGAAGGAAAGAGGAGAAAGCGGTTCAGAGAGAAAAGGAATGAGAGAAAATTAATATAAGAAGGGAAAGAAACAGACCCATTTGTTCAAGAAGCCATTTATTTTTCTATCCTCAGGTCATCGCAAACTTTACAAATAGTCTCTTCAATAGGAATTCACGGCTACAGAACATGACGACCAGCCAGTGGTTAAACGTAACAACAACCATCTTAGATCTTTTGGAGAATACGGCAGTGGCTATTGCTTTGACTTTGCCCAGTGGAGGAACAAAGTCAATCTCAGAAGACTCTTTTGGTAAAATATTACTCGGTAGAAATGCTGCCTCTTCCGTACCTACACTGGCCCGAAACCCGACCTCTTCCTCCGTTACGTTGATGACTGTATTGGCGGCGCCTCGTGCTCCCACGAGGAGCTCGAACAGTTCATCCACTTCACCAACACCTTCCACCCCAACCTTAAGTTTACCTGGACCATCTCTAATACCTCTCTCTCCTTCCTGAAACTCTCTGTCTTCATCTCTGGCAACCACCTAGAAACCGATATCCATTTCAAGCCCACCAACTCCCACAGCTACCTAGAATACACCTCCACCCACCCACCCTCCTGCAAAAATGCCATCTCCTATTCCCAATTTCTTCACCTCCACCGCATCTGCTCCCAGGATGAGGCATTCCACTCCCGTACATCTCAGATGTCCTCGTTTTTCAAGGACCGCAACTTCCCCCACTCAGTGGTCAAAAACACCGCGACCGTGTCTCCTGCATTTCCTGCAACTCATCCCTCACACCCCCTCCCCGCAATAACAGCCAAAACAGAATCTCCCTCGTCCTCACGTATCACCCCACCAACCTCCGGATCCAACTGATCATCCTCTGACACTTCCGCCATCTGCAATCTGACCCCACCACCAAAGACATTTTTCCCTCCCCACCCATATCTGCTTTCCGGAGGGACCACTCTCTCCGTGACTCCCTTGTCCGCTCCACACTCCCCTCCAGCCCCACCACACCC